CAATATCTATGACTATGCCAACCTGCTTGAGATGTACTTAAATCTATGTAATGACTGTGTGCAGGTAAATTTTCACCTGAAATCGTTTTACTTCCACCTGTTTCCTTTGAAGAGTTTGCACAATACAAAAACCTGTCGACTATTTGTTCCCATGCACCAACACCAAACATTACTTGAGGACCTCTTGCATCCATAGATGTATAAATAGAACCTACTGGGTTCATTAAATCAAACATATGAGATATTATAGGATTGTCTCTTTTGAACTTAAAATATAGTGCAACTATTTCAGGTTTCTTCTGGTTTGTGTCAGAATATTTTTTATAATATAATCTTATGTTTTCAGGGTAGGTACATCTTGACTATAATATTTATTTCTGTCATCTGTATATAATATACTATTCTCGTTTTTTCTATTGCATTATATCTTTTATATCTATAATAATCTAAATATAATGTTAGCTTTTGTTCATCTACATGTGGTGTTCTGTCGTCATCTCCATAGTCATAATAATGTGGTGCCGGAGCTGGGTCAGGTAATATCATATCCACCATTTCATAAACTCTTAAATATTTCTTTTGTTCGTCTCCATATAAGTTTAAGTAGCAGTTGTTGTCTAATGGAACTTTAACTTGTGTACCATCATTCTTTTTATAGCTTACATACATTTCATTGTTATTTTTCGGAATGAGTTTATACCGTGTACCATTTTTAAGGACTGTACCAACTGCCATCTAAAATATTTATTTTCTTCATTGACAGAAAAGTCACCAACAATAGTTTCAATATTTTTTGTTCCTATCAAACTTTGGTATATTTCATTGACATATGTTTTATCTGCTTTATTTTCAAGGCTAACGTTTAAGTCTGTTATTTCAGAAGATGTATGTGTATGTCCAACGGCACTTTTACTGTTTAAGGTTTCTTGTAAGTTTGTAATATTTGCAATGGTATGTGTATGTCCAACGGCACTTTTACTGTTTAAGGTTTCTTGTAAGTTTGTAATATTTGCAATGGTATGTGTATGTCCAACGGCACTTTTCCTGTTTAAGGTTTCTTGTAAGTTTGTAATATCAGATATAGAATGTGTATGAGTCTTATCTGCTTTTATCTCTAATGTTTCCTTAAGACTTGGTATTTGGTTAATATAATGTATATGAGTCTTTTTAGAATATTCGTTTTCAGCTCTTGTCACTTCACTTGACATTTTATTGTCAACATATGTTTTGTCTGCTAGTTCAGGATGAGTATGTTCTTTTGTTGCATAAGCATTGTTAGCTCTTTCTTCTTCTTTTGCTATTGCATCGTCTACATATTCTTTGTCAGCTTTGTTGTCAACATCTGCTTTCAAAGAAGTTCATTTAAAGGTTTCTCGTTTAAAGTTCCTTTTGTTGGATTTATACAGACAGTATTGTTCTTATTGTCTTGAAATAGAAACTCATCTGTTATAGGGTTTAATGTCAGTTTTAAGTCACCCCCTTTCAATGACTCAGATATCTTAGAATAGTTTGAAAAGTTTGTTGTGTTCTTATTTAGAGCTTGCATAATGAGTTGTCGGTTGTGTTGTATTTCTCTCATAGACGCTGTTTCATTTGACATTTTTATTCTAGATAAAATATGCTTCCAATAGAAAAAGAAAATTCTAGAGTTGCTACAACTAAACATTAGATGAACTTTTTTACTAATGTCGGTCAAAAGTTTGAGACAGATACCGTAAAGCATGAAGGCTATCGTTTTGACTACCCATTAAGATGGTTAAGAGACCCATCTGTCACAAAAGCTATTGGCTTTCGAAGAATAAAGTTTGTGTCTGTAGAAGATAAAAGTTTTCCATTTATTGTAAGGTTTCATATAGATTATACATCTGAAGGGCAACGAAAAATGTGGGAAGAAATTGAGCTAATACAAGTTGACCTCTCATCTTCTCTACAGACTGCATTAAAAATATAGAAGATAAAATAATTCATGTTATGCAAAATATGCTGATGAATATGCGAATACCGATAGCACACTTTATGTGAGAATTGTATATGACAAACAAAATTCACAAGTGTCATTTCAAATCTACGAAGACAATCCAAATAAAGACGAACAAATATATACAGAATTCACTGCAATGTCATGGTATTATTTGCAAAGAATGTTAAATCAGAAAGTTGAACCTCCTTTAGCAAATATCTACAGTCGATATGCAAGAGATGAACCATATTTATTTAAAGATGTTTTCGACCAGATGCTATTATTGTTCATGCTTCATTTTCTGGCGCCCAAAACTTTCTTATGCTTGGCAAATGACTTTTACGAAAAACCTACAAAGTTATACGAACCACCAAGTGGAAGTATTTCAGACTTTCAAGTATGGTTTACTACAGATGGAAGAAAAAGAATAATTCCATTATACCATGCGTTTACTTAGAACTTAGTTTCATATACAACTACTATCGAACGATAAAATATAACTTTTTAATATACCGGTTGTGGTTGCCAACTTGACTGTGGTGCAGGTTCAGGCTGTTGTATTACAGGAGCTTGTTCTTCTGGTTCAGGGTCTTTAGGTATAATACCAACAACTGACCTACTCTTTTACCAATATTTTTGACACCGTTCCATACTCCTCTTCCGACAGATTTTATTTCATTCCATATACCTCTTCCAACATTTCGAAAGAAGTTTCCTATCTTACTGAAGAAACCCATTTTACTATATGTAAAATCTAATGTCCGCTAGTCTCTTACGTTTCCTGTTGAGTTCCATAGCATTCTTTAACTGGAGCTCATACATTCTGTTTCTCCTCTGGTAGAAAACATATTCTGGTCAACTCCTGTGTTCGCGTCATCTGCATAAAGTTGTTTATATCCCACTTCAGGGTTTGTATAAAATCTTTCCATCTCATATTTGCATACCATGGTGGCAAACCTAACGCAGCGTCATTTGACATGGCAGTTTGCATTTGTACATCTGTTGGCACTTGACCATAGTTTGCCATTGCAGTTTGTATTCTAACTTCATTTGGAATATTCTCTGGGTTTGGTTGTCCAGGTTGCTGTGCATTCGCTAAGTTCTGTGCGTCCATTTAATATTAGATAAAATATCTCTTACGAGTACATATGCTGAACATTTGCAGGCATTGGTTCATCTTCATATTCTCTGTACTTTTCTGCCACGTCAAATAATAAATGACACAATGGAAAAACCTAAAACAAGTAGTCCTATTTCAAACCACATTTACTTACTAATAAAATTTCTTTGTTATGACACTTTCTCCAGTTTTAGGACCTCTCTCATATTCTATCTTGTCATATATAAACTCATAGTCATGTATGTCCTCTAACCATCTCATAACGGTTTCCAAACCAATTTTATCGGATGTAAAGTAAAAGCATGGATGGTTATGTATAACGTCTAAGTTTCTAAAGAGTCTCTCAAAGTCCAGTCTACTTGGTATTGAAAATCCATGTGTTATAGAACGGCGGGTCCACTATAAAGAAAACATTTTCCTTGTCTTTATATTTTTCATACAACTTGTCCAATGACATCTCACAAACTCTAATACCCTCAATATATTTTTCTATGTCCTCTTTGAAAACATTTGTATAGTTAAGATATAAAACTTTTGACATAAGTGTTTCAATGTCATGAACTTTATAGCACCACTAATAATAGTCTAGCAGATATACTATCCATCCTATATATTCTGCTTTTTCAAAACCTCTCTCACAATATTTTTTATCTAATGGTATATAGTTCCATCTTACCTTATAGGTATCTTTCTTTTAACTCTTTCAATATATTGTTTTGTTGGAATATGTTTGAGACGGTCATATAGTTGTCGAAGTCATTGCATATAATCTTTGAGTCAGGAAATACGGTATGACATAAATGGGATATATAGAAACTTCCACCGGACAAATCTACAAATGTTAGACCATTCGGTAGTTTTTCTTAAGTTCTCTCAATATAATATATTTTACATCTACTCTTATTTCCAAAGAACGGTAACGGCGGTTTTGTAAAATTCATTTATATATAATAATAAAAATGTTTTTACCAGAAAAGTGACAGAAAAGTGACAAAACATGAAAACATATATAATTTGTGAAAAGTGACACAAAAAGTGATATTTTAAAAAGCGACACCATTAATATGATGTAAATAACAACGGTTTTGGTTTTGTCACCGGCTGATCGGCTGGGGTTCGGTCCTCCTCTTGGGTCTTGGGCAAAATTTCTTATGGGCTAGAGGGCGCAACGCGCCTGGAAGCCCTCCGAATAAAAACTTCATTTATACTAAACATCTTCGGGGCTAGAGGGCGCAACGCGCCTGGAAGCCCCACTATCTTTTTTTTTTATTTCTGTTATATTTGTTTTCGTTTGATAATCAATAAAAGATTAACGGATTATATTAATATAATAATGCAAAGTTATATACTAATCATGTATATATCTTACTCCAAAGTTCTTTCAATGAAATTGTAAGGAAGGAAAAATGATAATTAAATTTAATAAAATTATTAAAAATGTTCTATCTACAATAAATATGTCAAGGTACTATGGCCGAGTGGTCTAAGGCGGTGGATTCAAGTCCCACTACGCAAGTGCATGGGTTCGAACCCCATTGGTACCAATTTTTTTAATTTTTGAGTTTTGCTCACACAAATAACTTTTTAGTTATTTTGCATACATAAATAAAACTCATTACAAGAAATAAAAAATTTATTTTACGCAAAATCGTAGTATAATATCAAATATTGATGTCAATTTAGTTAACAATCTGATTATCATCAATCCGAGTTAAGTATTATATTTTCGTGTATATCACAATTTCTCATTCCGCTTCAGATCCTAAACAGATTTAGCAAAATGTAATCAAAAAAACTATGTTATTAAGAAAAACAAACGTTATATCATGTTATTTTTTAAAACAAAAAACTATATAAGATCTAAAAGCATGGCATATTTTTCTACAGAAATGCAAATTAAATTTGCAATATTGCGTTAAATCAGCAACATTTCCTCTTTGGAATATCACTACCAATCTGGAATCTATTTAGTATATCATTTTCGTCTTCGCGAATGAGCCTTTCGTCGTCAGCAATCGTACGCATTAATTCCTTGATTCCAATACCATTTTTTGCTGATGTTTCGACAAATAATTGTGCGTTAATATCTTTTGCATATCTTTGACCTTGTTCAAAAGGAACTTCTCTTTTATCTTCGAGATCGCATTTTGCTCCAACTAAAATTGTGATGATATTTGGTGGGGCGTTACTTCGTAGTATTTCGTGAAATTCATTCAAGTCATCTAGTGTTCGTAGATCAGATATATCGTATACCAAAATTGCCACTTGAGCATTTCGGAAGTAAATTGGTACTAAAGATCGATACTTTTCTTGCCCAGCAGTATCCATTAAGGCAAATTTCACAGATATTCCTTTGGAGTTTTTGACTGAAATTGTTGTATTTGCTGCTCCAATTGTTGGTGAACTAAAATCATCATACATATTGGATACTGCATATTGTACAATACATGTTTTTCCTACACCACTTGCACCAAGAAATATAACTTTAATTAGATCCATTTCTGTTTGTTGTTGTTATTGAGGGTCACTTTTTCAAAAAACAATAACAATGCCAATACTTCACTTTATGATTTGTTGTTTATGATTAGCTAGTGTGAATGAATTTATTTTGCTGTTGATGCAGATTTCAAAAAAAATTTCAAATCGTAAACTAAGTTTGTTTTGATAGATATATGAATCAAGTAAAGTCAATGAGTTAAAAAAATACAGAGTGAATTCATTCACGAAAATATTCGATGAATTATTGATTCATAATTTTCTTTTTCTGTTTCGTATTCACATGTGAAACATGAGGAATTCAATAACAGAGAGAATACTCTATTATTTTTTCCCAGAAATAGAGAAGCTTGAAATTGAGCGAATAAAAAATCAAAATTATCATCGATATAGAATTGATAGTAGCAAATATTTGATAGATTATATCTTCGTATTTAAAATGTCTAATAAATGAAAGAAATTCATTAAAAAATGTTTCGAAATTTCGAAATTCATGATCAAAACTGTTTTATATGAAATTAAATAGGCCAATTCCATATAATACATTTATAGATAACGCTTTACGAGTGATTATATTGGAGTGATTGTGAAATTATTTCTCAATTTAAATTGAAAGAAAGTGATGTGTCAAAATTTGTATTATACAGGAAATAATATTATATTTAAATTGAAAAGTGTGATGAGACTTTAGAATTGATTTTTTTTGAATTTAAAAACCGATAAGAATATTTAATACTTTATAACTGTAAAACAAATCATGAGTTGTTCTAATAGTATTTTGGAATTTTTAAATTCAATTTTAAATTTTTTTATCCAATATGGTTGTACATCTGTCCGATAATAGTTTGAAAAATTACGGTGTTGGATACACTAATGTCTGAATTTTGAATAAAGATTGTAATAAAAAGTTATTTACAATGTTGACACATTGCTGTTAAAAATAAACAAAAAATTGCCGGACCACATAAAATCTGAATTGAATCAAATAATTTCTGTTGACTTCTTTTAGTAAAGTTCTCAAATTTGTTTTAAAAATATTTTCATAGACAAAATATCTCAATACCGCAATGATTGACAATAAACTTGTTCAAGAAATCATCAAAACTAGATCTTACAATAAGCACAAGAGGACGAGTTCCCAGAGCATTAGAGACCACGAACAAATTTCAAAGAGGATCTTTAATGTTGGCGTTATGCTGGATTTTGTAACAGCGTTCTTTGAGAAGAAATTAGGGTCATATGTTACTGTATTCTCATTGCTTGAAATTGCAACCAAGGTTTCCATCAAAACTAAAATCAAACTTGACAGGCTCGCTAAAAGGAACAGAACTGCTCTTCTGTGCTGGTTTGCGGAGCATTGGAACAAAGTTTATCCTCATTTATTTCAGTCTGATGAAACTTCTGATGATCACCAATTCTCAAATCCAAATCAAGACTCATGTGATCCAGAACTAAGTATATACATTCCTCCAGAAAGCATAAAGCTATTAGAGGTATTAGATATTAGTAGGCTTCTTAACTAGATATTGATTTGTCGAATTTTAATTCGACATGTATGAAAGAATATTTCTTTCATGAGTATGAAATATATATAATTTGTAAAATATAAATAAATTTATTAAAAATCGGATTCCTGAGTTTTCCTAATTTTTTCAAAAAATAGAAAAATCAAGTATTAATACCTATCGTAAATTAAATAATATATCATATAGAGGATAACTGATTAATTGTAATTATCTCGTTCAAATCTCAATATTTTTTTTACATCGAAAAAATGTAAAAATAAAAATATTTGTTGTTAAAATACATCTTTCTAAATGAATGATAGAATGCCAATATAGTTTTGCACGTTTTTGCTTTAAAAATAGTTAATGAATATTTTATTTTTTGAAAAAATATTGAATATTTTCGATTTGATTAATGAATATCATGCCATATTACTTAGTAATTGCCATTGATTATGTCATTCATAACTTGAATTATGCTTTTCGTAAAAATTTCCCGAAATATTGATATTTTTTCGAGAAATGAGTATCATGACCATTTCCAATATTAGTTAAGTCTGAAAAAACGAATCAATTTGCTTCCTTTTTAAAGGTAATAAAAAACCTATAAAAGAAGTTTTGAAAAATTGAATTGTCAAAGATTTTGTAACTCTCACAAAATCATAAGATTTTGAAAATCTTGGTATTCAATTTTCATTCCTTTTTTCTATGATTGTCAAAAACGATCAGTACAATCTTCTGCAAATGATATAAATTATTATAAATCAGCAATTCTGTTTTAAATTTTTTGAAGTATAATTTTTGTTGAATTCTAACAATTCATATAGAATACTGATAAGTTATTCTATAATTAGAGTAAGTTTTTATTGATTTATCCATAAATTCGACATGATTATTAATTGAGATAAAACCATAATTACAAAAAGTGACAAATCATAGAATTCAGACTCTGTAAACATTCTTACATTTTAATTCATGAAATTTAACATATAAACTCTACATTTGAAACAAACCTAAAATTGTTGTAAACAGAAATTCATCAAAAGTGACACCTCAGAAAAGCTAAAATATTGAATTTTTGGAACTTTTGATAGAGCACGTTTTTAAATATTAATTAAAGTAAATGTATATTTTGTAAAGATTCTTTTTAATAAAAAAAATAAAATTTTGAAGAAGAACACAAAATCTTCTGAAAAATAATATCACATAAACTCATATTATTTTCTAATATATAACTATTTTATATAAAAATCAAATTCAATGATCTTAAAAGCGAAGGATAAACCTCAAAATTTACGAATATAATGAGTGGGAATATAATGCTTATCTATCATAAAACCATATGAAATATTAATTTTTTCTTTACGCCTAATTTTTGACGACAATTAGCAAAAAATGTTAAATGTTAACACTCAGTCCATTTGAATATGAAAAATAAAATTGACTTTGATTAAATGTTTTTATTTATCATGCAATTCTTCTTGCGACCAAAGATTTGAATAAAATTTCAAAAAATAAGATAGCTTTAAAAATAATATACGGTAGTGTTTACTAATAGATGAATAGTATATAAATTCTATTAAAATGGATTTGATCCAAAAAAATATATAAAATTTGATCATAAATAAAATCGTTTTAAATTACTTCTTCATTTAAATTATAACAATTATTTTTGGTTTTATATTTTTTTGGATCAAATCCATTTTAATAGAATTTATATACTATTCATCTATTAGTAAACACTACCGTATATTATTTTTAAAGCTATCTTATTTTTTGAAATTTTATTCAAATCTTTGGTCGCAAGAAGAATTGCATGATAAATAAAAACATTTAATCAAAGTCAATTTTATTTTTCATATTCAAATGGACTGAGTGTTAACATTTAACATTTTTTGCTAATTGTCGTCAAAAATTAGGCGTAAAGAAAAAATTAATATTTCATATGGTTTTATGATAGATAAGCATTATATTCCCACTCATTATATTCGTAAATTTTGAGGTTTATCCTTCGCTTTTAAGATCATTGAATTTGATTTTTATATAAAATAGTTATATATTAGAAAATAATATGAGTTTATGTGATATTATTTTTCAGAAGATTTTGTGTTCTTCTTCAAAATTTTATTTTTTTTATTAAAAAGAATCTTTACAAAATATACATTTACTTTAATTAATATTTAAAAACGTGCTCTATCAAAAGTTCCAAAAATTCAATATTTTAGCTTTTCTGAGGTGTCACTTTTGATGAATTTCTGTTTACAACAGTCTGGATACATAATTCCGATTTTAGATGATTAAATTCCCATACAAAATTTCATTTGCCATAAAAACATTTTCTGCCTACTTAATGTTGATTCAAAAACACTTATCTATATTATTAAAGATTATTTGCACCATCCAATCAGTTCAATATATTGGTTTGATTCCGAAATTGAAATTTTGATTCAAAAGAATCATTTTGCAGATATGATTGTCATTACCATTGAGAAATAAATGTCGATAAGAATGATTTTAAGGAGATTGGGACAAAGTTGCAATTCGGCACTTTTTGTAAAAAAAATGGGGTCATACTCATAATGAATAGAGACTTATAGCCAAGTCTTGATATCATGCAGGGAGAATATACATAGATAAGCAATTATATTTTATAGTAGTAGTATTCAGAAATTCTTACAATTTACAATACAATTTTCAAAAATGGATAAAGACTAATAGCCAAGTCTTGATATCATGCAGGGAGAATATACATAGATAAGCAATTATATTTTATAGTAGTAGTATTCAGAAATTCTTACAATTTACAATACAATTTTCAAAAATGGATAAAGACTAATAGCCAAGTCTTGATATCATGCAGGGAGAATATACATAGATAAGCAATTATATTTTATAGTAGTAGTATTCAGAAATTCTTACAATTTACAATACAATTTTCAAAAATGGATAAAGACTAATAGCCAAGTCTTGATATCATGCAGGGAGACTCTCTACAAATACAAAAATTGATTATCATAAGGAAATACAAATTTATCAATTTTCATGTGAAAATTACATAAATTTGTTCTCCAATAAATAGCAATAATACTTTGAATGTTATATTAAGTAATATAGCTTCAGGTAAATAAGCTTACACTTCAAAAATATACTGTTTATTCATTAATTTTAAAAAAAGTCCAAATTATCTAATCTTGCTTACTCTTCCTTTAAACTTCTTTGTGCCAAATTTAATATTGCCTTCAAAGATGGAATAAGGACATTAGGTTCAATCCTTCGGCTTTCGACAATTTCCAAAATGTGTTGAATTAATTTCAAACATTCATCGTGTTTTGAAGCTCTTTGCTCAACAATCTGATTACCTGCCCTTGTAAGAATTCTTACTGCTCTTTCTTCATTCAAAACATTAGCGACTTGAACCTTAATAATCGCATTTGGAATCACAACAGTGATGAGAGTTATGACGATGTCATCAATGCGCTCATTTTTCTTACCCAAGAAAAATGTTTGCTTTAATTGATGAAAGTGTGATTCCGCAATGTTATTCGTGGAATCACCTTCTCCACGATATAACATTATCCAATGTTCTTTGGTTCTTCTCCATTGTTTATCGAAATACTTCAAAGCGTGCGGTTCTTCTTCTTCTAACATTGTTGTCAAGAACTCATATGTAGTTAGTATACAAGTCTTGGGTATGGTGGCACTGCGTTCCACCTTACCCAGTACTTGTGAATTTGACACTTTACAAAACCGTTAACGTATATTTTACAACATGAACACAAAAACTAACTTAACCTTAAATATTTACAAAGCCGCCAACAATTTCACCTCACTATCGTTCTCACTAACAACTTCACTAATGTTCTCATAAATTTTCCTCAATATCTTCATCATCAGTGTTAACCCTATTGTAGTCATACTTGAAGCCATAAACTTTCTCTAACTTCTTAACGTACAATTTACATAACTTACCTTCGTCATCGTATGGTTTAATGATATAACTATTTCTATCTTTATACACAGTCAATGAAAAGTCAACTGGTCTCGGATGTATTTGAAAGAACATGTTATGCTCAGGAAGGAAGAATAAATGTTTAAATATATGTTTGTTATATGTTTTGATTTGTATGAGTTGCTTTTGTTCTGTCATTACATCCAAATAAAATAAAAATAATTTTAAAAAATAAAATAAAAAATAAATGATATCACCACCCTCACACGTATGAAAACATAGCACAAAAATAAATTTAGGTGAAGTGGTGAGATCTCACCTCTTTTTTCACCTGTTTTTTCACCCTGTTGAATTCATTGCTTTATAACTCTCTTCCTTGGTTTCTTTTTAGTTGCTTTCTTCACGTCTGTCTCCAACTTGACTGTCTTTCTTCTTCGGCCGTAATGATACCAGTTACTTCCACCAGTCAATGGGTCAAATGGTCTTTCGTAAGGGTTTCCATACATTCCATAGGGACCATACGGAAGAACTACTGGTGGAGAAGAAACATTTTCTTTAGTTCCATCGACTCTATTTAAATGCATTGTTTCACCTTTCATCTGGTCATTAAAGTCTTTTGCGTGTTTTGCAAACTCATCGTCCTTTCCTAAAGCATTTTCTGACTCAGTCGCAACCAAATTGGATGCTTTATTTATGAGCCCTATTTTATTTAATCTTAACTTCTTTGCAACCCAGCCTCCAATCTTTCCTTTATTTGCGTCTAATGTCTTCGAAACCCTTCCTCCACTCATTTTATTTACTGCGTCATAAGCTCCAAGTGCTTTTGCTCCAAATGCTAATGCTTTTGTTCCCATTGCGCCTAAAGCTGCCCAAGCTACCATTTACACCATATTAAAATCATCTCTCTTCAATATTATCTCATAAAAGTTCTCGTTACTGGAGAAAGTCAATGAAACATAAGCGTTCTCACGGGCTTCGCCCTCACAGCTTTGCGGTCTATCTAACTTCTTTCTTATCTCATCTATTCTCAATAAAATGTCTGAACAATTGCTAACATCTTCTACAACAG